CAGCATAAGGATAATAACATTTGGAAAGAGAAAGAATATGCTGCAGCAGCTGACACGTTCCAGCCTTGTCCCTTCGTTTCCTCCAGGCTTCTCCCCCAACCTGCCTTCCACTCACCTTCCATTTGCTGTTTCGAGCCTGGGAAGAACACTATGGGTGAGAAGGAAGAGGAAGTTCCTCAGCCCTTCTCCTCTCCGCGACATCCTTTCTAGCAATACTCGATGGTGTTGTGTTAGAGCGCCACCTAGTGCCAGTATATGCTCTCCTCCCCTGCACTCAGGCTTCAGCTCCAGGCAGCATTCGCTCCATAAGACGCACAGACATTTTCCCCCACCTTTTGGGGGAGAAAAAGTGCGTCTTATAGAGCGAAAAATACGGTAGGTATTATCCCATTCTTAATAATACCTATCTTTTCTTATGTATATGTATATGTGTATGTATATATATATGTGTGTGTGTGTGTGTATGTGTACATATATATATGAAAAAGGCAATTGAAAAGAGATTAATAGAGCAAAATGCAAGCTTATAAATACAAGAAAGAAGGTTTTTGCATTAAAACAAAAAGATGGATCTGTGTGTAGAACAAGAAAGGAAATGTTAGAAATAATTGGAAAATTCTATTCAGAGCTATACAAAGATTAAGATCATTCAAAAGTAACAACACTCATAAAGAGCGTTGGAAAATGACTGTGTTATGGTTGAAATGCTGAAAGCTGGTGGTCACATTTACACAAGATACTAGCAAAACTATACTTGAGATGCTTGAGAAGAAAAATGCTGAAGTGATTCTTATATACAAGAAAGGGGCCCACAATGATTTAAAGAACTATCGCCCAATAAGCCTCCTTTCAATCATCTACAAGGTTTTCACCAAGATAATAGCAAAAAGAATATTGACAACATTAAATGACGCATAGCCAAAGGCAGGGTTCAGAAGTGGCTACAGCACAATGGATCACATCCAGGTTGTTCAGTAAGTCATTGAAAGGCACACCGAGTACAACATGCCTCTGTGCATGGCTTTCATGACTACGAAAAGGGTTTGACTCAGTATTCCAGCAAGCAATAATTAATGCATTGCTCAATCAAGGCATAGACACTGCTTACGTAAGTACATAGTACAATCAATATATGAAAGAACAATGGCAACAATTTGCCTTAATGATCTAAAAGTGGAAATCCACATAGAACGAGGTGTATGACAAGGAGATACAGTATCACCTATGCTTTTCTCAGTCTGCCTTGAAGAGGTATTTCGCAAACTAGACTGGGCAAAACATGGAATAAAAATTAATGGTGGGGACTTCCGGTGGCTCGGCGACGGCCGATGGAGGCTTTTTGACAGCCTCCCGTCTGGGGCTGCGTTAAAGCTGCCGAAACAGCATCTATCAGCTGTTTGGCGGCTTGAGCTTTCTCTCCGGGAGAAGGAGAGAAGGTGAGCTTTACTCTGAGTAGGAGTAGAGTTCCCTAGTCTCCCCAGGAGCTTCCAGGGAGACGAAGGTGAGAACTCCTCCGGAGCTCAGAGCTTTCTCCGCAGACCAGGATGTCTTCGTCTTTCCAGCGAAGCCAGACGTCGTCTCCACCTCTGAAACTTTGAAATTTTTTTTTAACTGTGAGTAAATCAACAGACAGAGCTGACCAGGAACTTGGACTTGTTTGGGAAAAAATATAACTTTAACTCAGAAAGAATAAGGCTTCTTCTCAATTGTTATAATTGAAAGTTAACTTTGGAAAAAAAAATGGCTGCGGGCAAGCCACTTCTTTGTTTCAAAGGGAAACTTTCACTTCTCTTCCGGTTGTGGATTGCTACACTGTAAAGACTGTAAAGACTTTGAAAAAAGAAAAAGAAAAAATTCAAGAAAAATTTGTTTAAATACTTACTGTTCTGGATTGACTATTAAGACTCTTTTAAAATTAAGAATGGTTTCTAAACGTACTGGAACGTCTGCAGTACCTAAAGCAGCTACTCCTTCTCCAGCTGTACAATCTACACAGCAGAAAGCTAAAACTCCCCCACCCTCCCCTCCTCCTTAAAGTACTCTTAAAAATTTACAGGACTCTCTGGTACAAATTTCTAAACAAATAGTACAACAGATGAGAGTTGAAACAGAAGAACTTCTTGGCAAGAAAAATGATGAATTGTGTGAAAACATGTCCCAAATTTTTCAAGGTTTTGCGTTTCATGTGGATCGTATAGAGAGACATGTGGATGAAGTGGTGGAGAAAATGGAGGGTATGGAGGAGAGATTAGAGAAAATAGAGGAAGGTGTGGAGATTGTTCAAAATGATATTGTAATGTCACAATATAGAGAAATGGAACATGCCATAAGGATTAGAGGCCTTAAAGAGAATTTACAAGAGAAACTGAGGGAGGAGATAGCAGCTGCCCTAGCCCTGGTTTTTGACTCCGATCCTGAAATTATATATGGAGAAATCGAAAAAGCATATAGAGTAAACTCATGGGTGGCACGTCAGAGAAATTTGCCTAGAGATGTTGTTGTCTATTTCTCCAGAAAAACACGTCGAAATGATATTATACAAGCTTTTTATCAGCAGAGATTCCAGATTGCTGCTCAAGATGTTATACTTTTGAAAGAAATACCTTCAAAAATCCTAAAAAAAAGAAAGGAATTTGCCTTTTTGGCTCAGGAGTTAAAGAAGCGACAACTGCCTTTTAGATGGGAGATACCTGTTGGAATGGTTTTGAATTATGCTGGGAATCGTTACAAACTTGATACAGTTCAGAAGGCCAAAGATTTTTATTTAACGGTTCTGAAAGCTGATTCATCTCCTATATCACCAACTAAAGGAATGGAAGAAGTGGAACAATTGATTGTAGAATTGCCTGGAGCTACATCGTTATCTGCAGCAGATTCCCAGAGTCAACAACTGATGGAGGTAAAGGCTGATTCAAAAGAGCAGAGAATGACACGTGCAGCGTATAAATGAAGGGAAAGAGAACAACAAAAAGAATCTGTGCCTCAAACATACTCATTTACCTCAGAGCCAGTGGGAGGGGCCAGATCCAAGAGATCTGTCATGGCAGACCTGCAAGGAATGCTCCAGAAGCTCCAAAAGCTGAAAGATGGCTAAGTTAATGACTTTAAATGTTAATGGATTGAACTCACCACAAAAAAGGAAGAAAATATTTCATTATTTGAAACAATACAAAAATGATATTATATGTTTACAAGAAACGCATATTGCATCAAAAGATCAAAAATATCTGGTTAACTCCAAATTGGGTTTACATTTTATTGCCCCTGCACCAAAGAAAAAAGCAGGTATAATTTTTTATGTTAAGAAAGAATTATTGCCAAAGTTAATAGATTTTGATACTGAAGGAAGATTTGTGCTTATTGAACTTTTATTGAATGGGAAAAAATGTCTTGTCGTTGGCATATACGCATCTAACCAATATCAACAGCAGAAACAATTCTACAGTCTTTTACATCAAAAGATAATACAATTGGACTATACATCTGTTATTATGATGGGAGATTGGAATGGTGTAATAGACCCTACAAAAGATAAAAAGACTTTTTCTAAAGCTTCAACTCAAACTAGACTGCCTAAAAGTTTTTTTGCATTGCAAGAAGATTTGGAGTTAAAAGACATATGGCGAGACTGGAACATAGGAGAAAGTGATTTTACTTTTTTCTCAGATAGACATCAATCTCATTCTAGAATTGATTTTATTTTGATTACCAGTGATTTAATCCCTAAGGTTAAAAAAGTGAAGATTTTTCCTAGGACTTTATCAGATCATAGTCCTGTATGGATGGAATTTTTAATTGATGGTGGAAGTAAAAGGACTTGGAGATTAAATGAGAATTTATTAAAATATGAAACTAATGTACAGAAACTTAAAGATCACTTAAAAGACTTTTTTATGTTGAATATGAATAAAGGCACTTCTATGTCAATGGTATGGGATGCAAGCAAAGCTTTTATGAGAGGTGCCTTAATTTCAATGAATACTGCTTATAGGCGAAAGCAATTACAAAGGCATAGGGACCTGGAACAAGAAATAAAGGTAAAAGAAAAAGCTTTCTCCTTAAATCCAACGGATAATAACTTAAAGGTATCTATTGCAATGCTGAAAGAACAGTTTAACATGTTATTGGCTGACCAAATGGCAGTTAATCTGAGATATATGAAACATAATACATTTTG